AGCTAAAATCAACATTATTTCACAAAATATGCACATAAAAATGAATACTTAATTTAAAAAGGGAAATGCCTAAAAGAAAGGGAAATACCAAAGCTTATTGCAGTCTATTTGATAACAGAAAAAAAGTAAATCATCACTGCTTCCTAGGAAGTAGGGCAATAAAGTTATAAATACCTTATTACAGCTTGATAATAAATTTTTATGTTGAAATTTACTGCAGAAAGAATTACATTCTTTTGACCACTCTTCATATAGGTTTCTTTCAGGAACATAACTTCTTGCACACATAGCTCAATATCAAGCAGAGAGGCAGAAATAAATAGTGAATAAGACAAGTGAAAAGAACAAAATACTAATATGGTTTACTATAAACCACTTACATAAAAATTCCACAGTTAATCTTCTCATAAATATGGAATAAATATAACCATGAAAGTATGAAATTTTAAATTTTGCTATGAGTGGATATCTAAAAAAATAGAATCTTAATATATGCAGCTTTAAATTCATTTTGAAATTTTGCCTGGTGGAACACATCAAAGTAATTTAAAAAAACAAAATCAAGTTTGTTGAGTAAGAAGAATAGGCTTGCAGCATAATTTGAAGCTCAAGCATGGGCCCTGATGAACAGCTGTAGGGGAAAAAAGAGTTTTCAAAGGCAATGACCACCACAACTATGTCTTTCACTCTTGTAACGCACCATAGGAAAAGCAGCAGTCTCCTAAATAACTGGATTCTACATTATACAACAATTAAACACCCTTCACATAGGAAAATATCCTCTATTTCTAAATCTACATAATAATCACTTTTCCCTATTCAACATCTTTCCCATGATTATATGTGTAAATGCTAAGAAAAATGCCTCAGCCACAATTCAGTTGGTTATGAGTAGATTATAATATCTAATTAAAACGGGTCAGTATTTCAAAGAGACACTGGTAGAGATTGACTGAATGATACAATAAATGGCATTGACTCAAGTGGCAGCAGTATTTTCTTTGGGTCTAGAACAAAGTAATATCCTATGCAAGAGTTAAATATGCTTTCATCCACTCTGTCATCTTGAAGAATGTCTTTTATTAATGCAACAGAGACACCTGCCAGGGTTTTCTTATCACCAGAATCAATGCTGCTTAAGGTGCTATATTTCAGACATGACCCTACGCCCCAGTTCTACTTTTGTTCACTGTGGGGCCCTATTTACAAGAAAACTTGGCCATCTAACCTTTTATTAGTATTTCCGTTGCAGAGTCTCTTTCTTTTCTGTTATGCCATATTACTGAGCTCCATTCAGGGGTCTGCATCAGCAGGGGCCATATAAATTCTATAAATAGTACTTGGTTCTGAATATCCTAATCATAGATGTAAATATATGTGTCTTATGAGACTGGTACTGTCTAATAAGTTTGTAAAACACACAGACATTATGAAACTGTAACATATTATTATAAAACATTTACATACTCAAAGACTGCAAAACAATAGGATTTCCTTACTATGACATATTTCCCTCCCACACTTGAAAGCAAAGCAAATTAACATATCATCATACTTCATACATCTAACATCAGCTCTTTAATACAGTTTATAAAACACAACAAAAGTTGTCAATCTCAGCAATAAGTCAGAATAAGTGCAAAACAAGTTCCTTACTAAAACTATCTGACATATGGATTGACTTTTCAAATAATTAAAGGCTTAATATGCTTGCCATTTACAAATCAAAATCAACTGATGCGATAGGCTAAAATCTATTAGTTGATCTTCTACTGGTGAAACAGAAAGGAAATACCTTCCACTTCTGAGAATGTCAAAACCAAGGCTCTGAGTGGGCAAAGTACTACTTTATTCAGTAGGTTACCATCATTTCTTGCTAACCACAGCCATCCTGTTTCTAAAAATCTAAGAAATGAGAATGGATGGATACTCCAGTTTGAACATTTTATTTTGCTATACATTGTAAAGCACTGGTTCATTAGGGAAGGGATGTGACAACAGTAATTCCTATTTTCTCTAAGAGTAACAGTATGGTATGTGACAGTGGAGCAACAACATAGCTCCTCCCCAGAAGCTTACAGACGCTTCTGTTTTCAAAATGAACAGATATTGAGATGATTACCATAACTATTAAAAGAATTTAAAGGTTGCAGTAAAATTGTATATATTTATTACTAAAAATCTTCCACATAACACACAAATTAAAGCAGAAAAAATTTGCATTCTGTAATAAACTCAAGCTAGGCTAGGGTTTCAACAGCCTAGACTACTGTGTGTACAACCCCTGTCACATGTGAATAAATGTACAATCACTATTCAAAAGCAAAGTTTCTGCACTTTGTACTACCAAGTGGTCATACCCATTTGTGAACAAGAACTCTTTTTATCTAACTTCAACCATTTAATCTAAACCTGACTGGTTCCACATTCTATGTTTAAAGCCTGATTTCAACCCATTGAAATTGAAGGGAGTTTTGCAATTGATATTCTGAACTTCATCCCATTTCTCTAAAATTAGCTTTCATTTTCTTCCCATTTATGTCCAACTTCAGTGGCCTCACAGTTCTCTTTCTTCATGTTGATATCACCTACATTTGCCTCTTCCGATTATTTTGTCTGCATTATTTTGTTTCCTTTTAAAAAGTGTAACGAAAGTGAAAGTATACAGGGGTTTAGATCATCTCGTGATGCGAGGACAGAGGAGGGGAGTAGGCCAATGACCTTTAAATAATTTTTGAACTCTCAAAGCCCTACGAAATTTTCCTCTAAGTCAATATAAAGCAACAAATTTAAATCTACTAACAAGGCTGTGGGTTAGGGATTTTGCTATTTATCACCTGACGCGACACTCTGAGAAACAGCCTGTGGAGTGTCAAAGAACTCCTGTATCAAGATTAATGACCACTGAACTACATCCTGAGTTATGGAAGGGACATCCATAGTATGGTAAGTAATTTTGCACTGTTCATCAGTTCAGTGACAGCATAAAGCACTAAATCATGAGAATTTTGTATTTCCATATTGACACATGAATTCAAAATTTTCTGTTATAAATAACCAACATTTGTAACAAACAAAAATCCTTCCTACAAACACATGCATGAAATTTATATTTCAAAGCAACTTCAAGCAATTGTTAATTAATTCTGTTTACAGCAATGTTTTTAAGAAACTAGTTGTACCAAAGAAAGAAAACCTTCAAAATAATACTGAAATAAATGAAGAACCTTGATTATCCTGACTCCATGTCCCAACAACCTCAAGCTAAAACAAAGACTCAACAGAGAGAATGAGGTTTATGCTTATGTTCCAGAACAAGAAAAAAAGTATTTCTAACATGTGCATTTAGGAGGGCCAGGGTCTTTAAGCAAGACATGAGACAACCTCTGTCAGGTGCTGCACTTATGTGTAAACTCCACATTAACAGAGTTACTATACAATTTGAATCTCTGGGTTTGAGAGACAGGTGCAGCTGCTGGCAGCTTTTAGTTTTTTAAAGAATAAACTTCTGAAAAAAACACTCAGGTTTTAACAAAACAAATATCAGATCATCTTGGCAAGATCAGTGGCCAAAAACTTTAGACACCTATTAAAAATACCAGTGAAAAGAGTCAGCTAGAAAATACTGCTTTTTATTATTTTAATCTCTGACTTTAAAGACAGGCAGCATAAGCATTCAGTGGGTAGAAAGCAAACCCCTTAGCCACCTCCCAACAAATACTTGTGTTTTCTCTCTGCTTTTCTTTTCTCTCTGCTATTTTTTTTGTTTTCTCTCTACTATTCCTTTCTCTTAGTCTTCAATGGAAAAAATATAAGCGCTCCCATCACAGCTCTCCTATAAGACTAGTTCAAGGGAAAGCAAGATCTAGCATGAAATGACAGCAGCAGATGCAGAAGTGCTCAGCCTGTCTTATGTAATTTGCAAGCCTAAATGTCAAGCCAGTCAACACTAATAACAAAAGTGGCTTCTTAGACCTCCACGTAAATTCTCTACTCTGTCCCAGCACTTCACAGGGAGGGAATGGTTCCTTTCAAAATAACCCCAGAATGCAAAACTCATTCCTGAAAAGGCATTGTTACAACCAGAAAAGCACCTCTGAAGCTTTTCATGAAAATATAATAAAACAGCCTTCAGAAGCACATTAAACAAAGTTTCAGTAGAACTGCCTTTTAAACAACAGTGATTTGTGGTTCTTCTGACCATCTTCTGGTATTTTTATTATGCTATCATTCAAAATTATACACAAAGAAGTAGTTTGTACAACAAGATGATTTGTGTATCTAAAGCAAAAGTAATTTCAGTCTGAGCTCCTGTAGCAAAAAACAAAATAAAACCCAAATCAAAAAGATGCTGTTAGATGCCCAACTCTGTAAGAATAAAGCAATTTCTGACATGTGTCATCTAAACGTTTCACTCTCCTCATGTATTATTCACAGAGGTTATATATCAAAGTCTGTTTGTATATGCAAATCCCAAAATTCTATTACTATCTGAAAACTAATCTGAATGCTTCTAGAATTAAAAATAAAAGGAGCAGCTTAGCTTATTTCAAACACCTGGCCCTATAGCCACTTGATGTACTGAACTTGAGGGAGGCCAGATAAAGGAAAAGTTACTTTTTCTTCTGGTTTGGCATATTCATGACTACAGGTAAGTTCACACAAATTTGTCTTTCAATTTTTGGTATACAGAGAAGATTGACTAAGCAAGTGATAAACAACAGAAAAAAGTGTTTGTAACTACCTCACTGCTGAAAATCAGCACAATCAAGTGGCAGCGATGCGGGTGTCTTAACAAGATTATTATTGCCAAAAATATGACAAATTTAGTCTCCCAAACTACAAAATGGTAGCAAGACAAAAAATAATGTAGCTAGCATGTCAACTAGTATGTCAACTCCAGCTGTGTTTAAAATGCTTAAACACATGAACCTAATAAAACTCGGTTTTGAACAGACAACTGTAAGGGGTTGGGTGCTCTTTTCAGATGAGGAACTCACCCAGACTTCAAGTCTGTAATCCGTAAGCAATTAGTAGCATCTAGTCCTACTTTTCCATTCCTGACCACACTGGAAATGAAGGGTGAAAGTGCTGGAGAAATTCTGTTCAAGGCCACTTCGGGTGACATTTTATTATGTTCCTCCTTCCTTTTGTCTTGAACTGCAAAGGGAGAAAATAAAATTTTAAAATTATCTACTTATTTGATATAGATTCACATGTACTTTACAAACATCAACAGAAAAAAAGCTAAACACTCAAAGGATCAGGAATGTAAAGTAACAGAACTGTGCACAGGTTTATAGAGAAAAAATAAACACGGGTGGTTTTTTTTCCTCCCACCTCCCGCAACATTCAGTTAACTCTGTTTATCCAGTATCAACATAAAGACAGAATTACGTCCTAGGTGCATTTAATTAAGGCCCTAAGCCTCTAAAAAAGAGGCATAAAACTGAGGGCCACTCTGACACTTCCCCACCCAGTCATTCTTGTGAGTATTCCCAGTCAGTCTGTAATTGACAAGTCACACGTGTTCTGCTTCCCCTAAAATCAGAGAACTTACACTAACTGCAATGGGCCCAGGAGTCTGATACCTCTCGGTATTCTCATCTGCAATTTCCAAGAGCACTAGTGTGCTCACTAATAATCAGTATTACTTTTATACTACTTCATTAGGTGGAAATTTATAGAACTTAATGATGTCTTTTAAAAGCTAACAATAAGGGACAGAAGAGTTCATACATAAATCCTAAGCATTCAAAAATATTTTTAAAATAGGATTTAATTGAAAAACACTAATACACGCAGCATTCACTTTCTTAAAAATGCTGCACATGGACTGCTGTATTAGTAAGTTCTATAACAAGAGTGTGAACAACTCATGGCAATAATTGCAATTTTCTGTTGTTTCTCACACTCAGTTTACAAGCATTAATTAGTAACTAATGGATATTCTGCAGAATCTACTAAATCTCTGTAACTGGGAGCAACATTAAATTTCTGTTCAGCAACATTCTGTTCTCATGAAAGCCATTCACATAGGAGTAGCAGGAAGCAATGTTACATGTTTGTCCTAGATGTTCAGAATGTATCTTAATAAAGCAAAGGCTGGGCACTTTAAGGCAAACTGAAAGACTAATAAAGTAACACTTCCTAAAAACTGTAATTATCTTTAATACACTGGCTCATACATTTTATGGCATGAAGAAGCTGAAGACTATGTATCCATGCCCTAACTCATAATGTGTTCTCATATATGATTTAATTGACAATGGAGCAACTTACATTTGTTTAGCAAACACATACAGCAATTTAAGATACTACCTCCAGTTTGCTATTTTTCTACTAAAAATTTCTGCCTACTCACCTTTATTCTTCCCCAGAGGGACTGAGAAAACACAAGCCCATTCTTGACATATTTCACTGCAAAGTCCAGTGGCTTAGATTGAACTGCTAATAAAAATTAGTTTAAGCACTTTGCACAAGAGTGATTACAACAGGGCACATACTTCAATCTGCCAGCCCTGCTGCAGGGAAGAGTAATTTCAAGCAGGGAGCAGCTGGACTGATGAAGTTAAGAACTTCTAAAATCATGAGAACATACTGAATAATAAGCTATCCTTCTAGCAATCCTGAAGTTATACAAGATCACAGAATTGATTCTGATAATGACACGTTTTAAGGGGACTGTAATATTATGAGGGTGAAATTGAAAAATGTGATACACCTGGTGATCACCGCTCACCAGATGCATCTTGTAAATGAATTTTAAAATGTGATTCCCTATCTTTCTGTTAATAAAATGTGCAGATATTGTCAAAACAAGATTTAAATGACTGTTAGGCATTTTTCTGTATTTTATTGCATCATTTTTAAAAATCACAGTACCTTCTATTTAACAAGCCAGATACACAAAACTTAAAGGCTTATTATCAAGTAAACTCACTGATTTATTTTGTAAACAAAGGGCTTTACAAACTAGAACACAACTTGTATGAGTTTCCTAAGTTTCAGTTGTCATATACATTGTTTTTCTACAGCGTAAGTTTCCCACAATACTGGAAACTGAACACAAACTCAGGGGAATGAAGAAAAACAAAATTCACTGGACTGTTTCCCTCCCAAAACAAAACCTTGGAAAGAAGCAAACAAAAGAATAGTTGAATCCTCTCCGATTCAGCTGGCTATCACTGTGACTTCGGGCTAATGTGACACAGGATTCACGGTAACAATGAAGTCCCGGGCACTGCTTTGGGTAGCGGAGAGAGTGAGGATACAAGACACCGGCCATAACATAATGAGGATTAGGAGAAGATTTTTAAAAGGAAAAGGTGAATATTGTGATGGAAACCTGGAAGAATGACACGACCTCTCCTGCCTAACCCACTCGGCGTGGCTGTCGGCAAGCTGGCTGCGTGGTTTCCACTTTGGGGGCGGGCGGCAGGAGCTGGTGTCTGGGTGTGAGTGGGGAAAGGAGGGACCCAGGACCGCCCCTCCTGCAGCCGTGCCCCAGCACATCCACGGAATGCGATCAGCAATGTGCACCTGCGGAGCCCCGGCTGAACACAAGCTACCTAAGCGCTGGCACTGAAGAACGCTCAGCATCCCAGCATGGGTAAGGCCGGAAAAGACCCCAGCGGCTCATCTGGACCGACCCCCCTGCTCGGGCAGGCTCCTCCTGAAGCACAGAATTGTGTCCAGGCACTTCTTGAGTATCTCCAGTGAGGGAGATCCCGCGCCTCTCTGGACAATCTGCTCCAGCGCTCTGTCACCCACAAAGCAAAGAGGCTCTTCCCCACATTCAGGGGGAACTTGCCGTGCATCCACTCCCGTTCCGGGCTGACCCTGGCCAAGCCCCGCTCCCTCCCCGGCTGCTGCTGCCGCCCGCGGCGCTGCGCCCGCCCCGCCCCTCCCCTCCCCAGCTAACGCCGGCCTCCGCCGGCTCCCCTTCCGCCCACCGCCGGCCCGGGAAGGGCTGTGGCGCTGCTCGCTCCTTCCCTCCCGCTGTTCCTGCCCGGCTGGCTCGCTCCTTCCCTCCCGCTGTCCCTGCCCGGCTGGCTCGCCCCATCCCTCCCGTCCCGGCCCCGCCATTACCTACGGCGGCCGGAACTCGCCGCTGGGCAACGCCGTGCGCGCCCCCGCGCCCGCCGTGCGCGCCTCCGCTCCCCCCGCGCCGCCGCCGCCGCCGCCGCTCCCACCCGGCCCGAAGGGGTCTTCACCGGCACAATATTGGCGTCCGCCGCAAGTGCCTGTGCGGACCGTGCCGCGGGACAGAGGGGAACGGGGAGGGGGGGCTGTCCTGGCAGCAGGCGTTCGGTGGGACAGCCCTGCCGGGCGAAGGGCCCCGCGGGCAGCCCGTCGCTCATGGCAACGGGAGAAGCCGCGGCGGGGCCGGGGCGGGCCGGGGTCAGGGTCCGAGGGCGCCATGGCCGCGGAGGTGGTGGTGGTGGGATCCTGTATGACCGACCTGGTCAGGTTAGTACCGGCTGGGGGTTTTCTGCCCGCACTGGGCGGAGCGACCCTGAGGTCACGGGAGCGCAGGGCGTCACGGTGCCCGGGGAACAGGGCAGGCACGCCGGGCCTCCCCGGGCTGGGCCGGGGCCAAGCGGGGGATGGCGGTGCCCGGGGAACAGGGCAGGCACGCCGGGCCTCCCCGGGCTGGGCCGGGGCCAAGCGGGTGTCACGGCTCTTTCCGGGCCGAACCGAGCGGCTGTCACGGCTCTCCCCGGGCCGGGACGGCAGCAGCGGGGTCGGCTCCAGACGCGGCGGGAGGAGCGCTCGGCCCCGGGCGGAGAACCGCGGCTGCGGCAGAGGACTGAGCACAGGCACAGATTGCTCGGAGGGGCTGTGGAGTCTCCATCGCTGGAAGCGTTCGGGAACGCTCTGGGTGCGCCCCTGTGCCCTGGGATGACCCTGCTTGAGCAGGGAGGCTGGGCCGGGTGTGCGCTGTGGTCGCTTCCAGCCTCATCCATGCTGGGATTCTGAGACTGTGAAAGGGGCGGGTGATGTCAGCTGCAAATAGTACTTGGAAATAAGAGTGTGGGAACGGGGAGAGGTTTGAAGGTGTTGCGTGCTGGAGCTTTGATCAGCTGTCTGTGACTCTGGAGAGGGGAGAGACTTGGGTTTATGCTTTCAGCTGTGCTGCCTGGGTCGGTGTTGGCCTTGGCCAGGCAAGCAGCGTTCCGTAGGCAAAACCTGGAACTCTGATACTCCTTATCAGCAGAGGAGTCTGACACGAGTTCATGAAAGTAAATCAAGCTGGTCCACCGTAACACATATTCAGTTCAAAGCACTCTTGTCTGCACTGGAAAAGTGAGAAAGTAAGGTTAATACTGCAAAAAAAACCAAATGGGTGCCAAATGATTCATGTACCTGCTCCATGAACCAGCAGGTTGTAAATTGATTACTTGCATACAACATTTTGTGGGACACTTGAAAATGAGATTGAGGGAGAGAGAGGGAGGCCCTCCCAAGGTATTAATATCCAAACATATGAAGAAGTGCATATAGGAAGCCCTCAAAAATTTAGGAGCTCTGAACTGCCAAACTATTTTTTAATTATTTAAAAAGTTGTTTAAATTAATAGCTTAATTTTAAATAAATATTTGTTTTCTGAGCATTTTGCTTTTTAAATTAAGTATATGGGTCTCATTGTCTTTTGTTCTTCTTTTCCTTTTTTGTACATAGGTAAGGTTTGAGAACTTAGAAAAATTGAAGTACAGAAGTTCATAAGAGCTCTTGGTTCCGGTAGCCCTGGCTTTGTAGTGAATACTAAATAACAGAATTCAAGCAAAATTGCAAGAATTCATGATGCAAATTCTAACCTGAACTGGCTGGCCTTGTCAGTCCCAGTAAACTTGGAAATCAGTCTTTGATTTGTACTATTTTAAACACATCTCCATACTCTCTGTGCAGACTTGGTAAAAATAAGATCTAAAGTGTATATATCTGGACTGCATCACCTTGTTCTGCTCAGAATTCTGCAGTAAAAGTTCTTTATCAAGAGGCAATTATACCAAAGCCTGTGGATCAAGAAAGAGCAGAACATGTGATTAGAGGAACATGCTGAGGAGTGAATATTGTTTAGGCATAGACTTGTGCTGCAGAAATGATGAAGTCCCTTAAATAATCATAGAACCTGTGTCAGAAAGATATAATGCTCTGTGTAATTTGCAGAACACACTGGCAGCTTTCCAAGGAGAATAGTTGTCTTGTAAGTCAGAGTAAGAACTGTGGAAGTGATCTTGATGTTATGTGTGAATGAGCTCTCAGATGCTTATGACGTTGCACTGAAATATAAAACTTGGTGCTCTAACCTCAAGACATTCCTTTTCCTGCCTGTCTAAAATCTGGAGGGAAAAGCAGAAATAAAATTGCCAGTTTAAGCACTGCTGACAACTGCAGCTTTGGGCTTTTCTTGACACCTAAACAAACAAAGAAGAAAATGTCTTACTCTTTTTTTAATTTTTTTTTTGGCTGCATGTTTTATATTATAAAAATGCAGTAATTTATTTGAAGGCATATTAACTGACCATACTGTAACCAGAAATTACACCATGGGCTGGAGTGACAGATGCTGTTACACTGATATTAAGTGGCTGAAGAAAAGCCATTTCACTTTTCAATCAGCTGAGGGGGTTTCTTAAAATGCACAAATGCAATCACAAGTACATATCTGACACCATTATTAGCCTCTGCTTTAAGTAGCATTGAAAGGACTTTTTATAAGTGATAAGCTAATCAGCTTCAGTTGAAAAAGAAGGGATGGCTTCATTCTTTCTGTTATTAGCACAGAACTTCAGGCACTTAATAAAATAAGAAGAACAGTGTGTTTAAATTCAGCTGGCAAGAGTTTAATCTGACCAAAATTTCCATGTTGTACCTATGCAGACATTGTTTAAATGTATCCTGGGTTAGGAAAAGCTGGGTAAAATTACCGGAAAGTACAAAGCAGTAGGCTTGATTGTGCCTAGGTGGAACAGGAAACTATAAACAAGCTTTATGAAATATAAAAATTGTCAGGTTAGGATTAGATTCCAGGAGCATAACTCTTGCTTGTCTTTGTATATGGGATTTAGCCAGGGCTGCATATTCTGGATTTAAAGCTAGGGTTCATTTCAGCTGGAATGAAGGAGCATCAGGGTTTTGTGAGTTTGTCATTAGTGTTGATGTTTCAGTTTATAAAAGATTTGGACAAGAGTGATCATGTTAAATGCCTGTCACTCATTTGGAGGAGCCTGAATAAATTTGTGAGAGTTACACAGTGAAAGCTGGACGCATTTATGTAGACATTGTGTTTAATGGGCATCTTCATCACTCAACACTAAAGCCTATCTTTCTTAGAAGGTAATAATATTGATTGAGACTCTGCCAGAGCTAGACAATGCTGTGTTATAACTCAAACTGGTAAAATATCCTGTTGGTCCTTTAGGACACAATCTTGGCCCTCTGACTGGAGAGCTA